ATTGTCTGATGTACCTTTACTGACATCATGCTTAAAAGTGTTGGATTGGTAAAGAGCATGAACAGTTTGAGAAATCCAAGACAATGGAAGATCACAAGGAAACTTAAAACTTTAAATTGTATCCTCAAGATAAGAGAAGATCATGCATCACTGAAACAACACAGGAGTCTGGTTTTTTTAAGGCATATTCAAGAGCAAAATTGTGTGGCAAATAAAGACAGCACAAGTACAGAATGAAGGGAATTAAAATTTCAGTAAGTGCAGGAAAATTTCCCAGAACTTTGCATTCTTTAGTTTTCTTTCATTTGCACATACACATAAAGTACTTAGCAGAATGAATTTTTAAAAACTCTATTCAGAAAGTTTTCAAACATATGAAACCTTTAAAACAAACAAAAAACCTCAAGAAAGAAAAAGCAGGCCTTATTTTGAGGGTCAGGAATCAGAAGGCATCAATTATCAGCAACAATACTAGAAGACTAATTTATTTTACTCTCAGACTGACAGTCAAGGATAAGGATAAAATAAAGATGAGTGATCTTGATAAATTTACCTGCCATGTACCCATTCTTCAAATTACTGATAAATGTGCAGCATGAAAGTAAAGTAATAAATCAAGAGAAAGGAAGACTGTGAGATTGAGGAAATAGGATGCCTGACACAGGAGAGAGAAGACTAAAGCAATATAGAAACTTAAGAAGTATGTATTTGAATCTGATCCCCCGGGGAGCTCTGGTAGCGTAGTGCCTAAAGCACTTGACTGCTAACCAGAAGGCTGGCGGTTCAAACCCACCAGCCACTCCTCAGAAGGAAGGTTGGGCAGTCTACTTCCATAGTGATACCACTTCAGAAACCCAAGGAGGGGTCACTGTGAGTCGAGTCTGACTCAACGGCATATAACAACAACAGCAACATATAATTTTCTATGCTGAGCTCATTTTGTTTATGAATCGTGTTATCACTTATTCATTGCTACTGTTTTAGTATTTGCTGAATATTTATGCTGGTCCTCTTTTTTGATGTGAAGGTTTATCATTTTTCTTTGAGGTTACGCTGTGGTTTATAGTTTTCTTCCCAAGCTTAGAACAGTCCATTCTATCTTGTAGTTGTCTAAACTTCTCTACTATCTAGAAGTTCTGTAACAATGCTGTTTTTTTTTTTTTTCCTTTCCCCCTCTTCGTGGTTTGCAGTTGTCCTCATTTGTCAATTGATGTCTCTGGTTCCTTGTTGACAATCTTGTAGGCTTAATTACTTTGGCTACTTCTGTAGCTAGGTTGGTTTCTGGGTTATATCATCATGTGTGTTAATGGTCAGTTGTTGTTGGCTGTTGTTGCTTCTCTGTCCAAAGGACTCCGTGTAGCATCTCTTGTAAAGTTGGTCTGGTTTTAACAAATTTCCCTTAATTTCTGCTCATCTAGAAATGTCCTAATTTCACCATCATATTTGAGGGAAGTTTTGCTGGGTACATAATTCTTGGTTGGAAATTTTTCTCTTTCAGGGTTTTATATTTACCATCCCATTGTCTTCTTGCCTGCTTGGTTTCTGCCAAGAAATTCAATCTTAGTCTTATTGGTTGCCCCTTGTAGGTAACTTTTTGTTTTTCCTGTGCTGCTCTCATGATTCTTTCTTTGTCTTTGGTTTTGGTGAGTTTGATGATGCTATATCTTGGTGATTTTCTTTTGGGGTCTATCCTGTTTGGGGTTTGTTGCACTTCCTGAATGGATATATTCTCATCTTTCATCATACCAGGAAAATTCTCTTCCAACAAATTTTCAACAATTTTCTTTGTGGTTTTATTTGTCTCTTCCTGTTCCGGAATTCCAGTTACCAGTAGGTTATTCCTTATGATGGTAATCCCACATGAACCTTAGGCTTTCTTCATTTTGTTTTGATCTTTTTTCTGATTGATCCCTTTCCAAAGAAGTGATCAAGTATTTGCCTTCAATCTCCCTAATTCTGTCTTCCATTGATTCAGTTCTGCTCCTTTGCCCATTCAATGTCTTATCTATTTCTGAAAATTTAGTGTTAATCTTCTGGATTTCTGTGTGTAGATTTTGTATCATTTCTAATTTTTAATTTATTTTGTCATTTTGTTCTTATATTGTCTTTTGAAATTGTACTAGGGTTTTCTCTATGTTTTCCTTGATCTGTCCCTCAATTCACTGAAGATACCTAAATAAAATTCTTTTGAATTCCTTATCAGGGAGTTCCAGTGCTGCGTCTTCCTCAGGGATGTGTTTTGGGTCTGTATTCTGCTCCCTTGTTTCTCTTGCTTTATCTTGCTTCTTTCTGTGCACTGTGATGCTCTGCTGTCTCTGAGGCATTGTGACATTTTTGTGTTTATATTTAATTGGTGATTGTATGTTAGAGTGACTTGCCCACGATTTTTATTTTCTTTGTTTTGTTTGTATGTTACCTATGTAAGTAGTGTACTGTGCTCCTCTATTCACTAGTTGACAGCACTTATACATTCACCACCTGTCTCCTTTCCTTTTATCAGACTGTCGTATGTCCCTGCCAACCTTGGCAAACAGAGCCTATTCTTAGGTCCCTGGAATCTAATGGAGAATGCTGTCACCTTAAAATCCACAGTGGTTGCCATTTGTAAAGATTCAGAATGGCTGTACCATTGGTCACTTTAAATATCCAAAATGGTCGCCACTTGTAAACATTCAAAATGGCTGTGCCCTCCGGACAGCAGAAAGTCAACAGTTCAGGTTGTCTCCCTCCTTGCTGTTTTCCCTTCCTAGTCATAGGCTACCAGTGCAATTGTCCCTGCAGCCCTTGGTGACCAGGTCATTTCTCAGGTCCCAACACCACTTGGAAATATTCAGGCTGTTGGTCCCATCAGTGTAGCTGACAGTCCGCAGCTCTGTCTCCATACTCACTGTTTTCATTCAGGTTTTTCCACTAGTTGGTGCCTCATCCACTTATATATAGTTCCTTTCAAAGCTCAGGGCTCCAGGATTATCTTCTGTATCTCTGTTAATTGGTTTTTCTTTTCTTTGTTGAAGAGGGTCTGTGTCGCCTGTCTTCCTGTTCCTCCATCTTACCGGAAGTCTCTTGTTTTGTTTTTTTAACATAAGTACTTCCATGGTACTTGTGGAATTTTAATAATCCAGCATTACATACGTGGTTTTCAATGCTTGTATTTCACAGTCTTGTGATTGGAGTTGTTACTGTCAAAATTAATTGTGAAAGACAACATCATTTGCTGTCACTAAATTTGAAATTGGAGAATCTGTCTTAGAATTCTATCTTAATTTCAAGTCTGGAAATGTTATTCAGTCCGACATATTATTTTTGCTTGGTCCAGGTAATTCCATAAACTAAATGTCCCAAAGACTTGTTTTCACTAAGAATGAACACACTGACTTACTGTGGTTTTGTAACTACTCCTGTATGTTGTTAGTTGCCATTGAGTCCACTCTATTCTGTTATGTATAACAGAATGAAACGTTGGTCTAGGCCTGTACCACCTTCATGATGGTGGGTATTTTTAAGTCCATTTTTGTGGCAATTATGCCAGTTCGTTGAGGGGTTCCCTACTTCTCATTGGCCCTCTGCTTTATCAAACATGATGTTCTTTTGTATACTTTTATATACCTTGGGAGTGAAAAATCATAGAATTGAGGCAGGTTGGAAAGGCCACCAAAAATCTAAATCATTTGTTAGTTGTACTTAGCAAGGTATTTATGTCTTACCAGCGTAGTAATAACTGTGCAACTGGTTTGCTAATAATTTCTCCATCTGTGAAATTGAATCTTTGGAAGAAACAGTTTGTTAAAAGAGTAGATACTGAAAATATGAAATGTAAAATTCCTTTTCCTACAACCATTGAAAGGAATGCTGTGTGCCCTGCTTCTGCTTAAATTTCTATAAGGTAGGCAGGTAATAAGTGTCAGAACTTGAATGCACATCCAGGACTTCTGTCTTCTGAACTTTTCAGTATGCTGAAATGATGATATGATAAATTGATAACATGTGGAAAAAGGATCACTAAGTTATTAATATTGTTAATCATTATAAAATAAGGTGTCATTTCGTATCTATTAAAAAGTTGTTTTCTGAACTTGTAATAATTAATTGCTGGAAGCCCGTGTATGGTTAATGGAGATACAATTCAGCATAACCCTTTTGGAATATATTCATACTATGACACTGTTTAAAAATGTTTAAAAATGGGTTGCACAGGACTGAGCAGTGTTTCATTCTATTGTACATGGCATCACTATGAGTCAGAACCGACTCAGTGACGCCTAACAACAGCAATAAAAATGTTCATGGGCACAGACTATAGAAGGAATTATTCTAAAATGTTCAGTTGTTCAGATTGTGGGTGCATAGGTACATATTTTTTAAGTAAATATTTCTCAGTTTTTCTACATTTAACGTGTTTTTATAAATGGCAAAATATTTCTATCTTTAATAGGGAAATAATTCTTGATACAGAATAAGGATTACACAAAAATAATTAACCACTTCATTTTTAGAAATGAAAAATTACAAACAAGTTTAATGTGCAGCTGTGAGGAATGTGCCAGAATAAGTGAGGATACTTCTAAGGGAAACATATAAGGTTTAAGAGATTGCATAGGAACATGGGGAAAAGCTATCCAGCATAATAGGAAAATCAGGATACAAATTTGTTTATATAGTATGTAATTATAGATATATATTTTTATAAAGATATAAAAAAATATGACAAGAGATCCAAGTTTTATAAATGTTATGTTTGGGTATTGGGATTCATGTAATTTTTCTCCTTCATATTTTTATGTATTTTCCAGATTTTACTTAATTATCATATACTGATTTTTTTATAAAGGAGTCCTTTCCCAACATGAGGTGAAGCTATAGCTAACCTGCCACTAGATATATTCTGTTTATATGATCTTGAAGTTTCACGGAAATAGAAAGGTAGATTTGATAATGACATTTTCTTGAAGTCTCATTTTGTTCCTACCATATGGAATGAACATTTTTGTATCATTTCTTAGATCTGAAACTCAGCACCGAGGCTCTGCTCCCCACTCTGAGAGTGATCTACCGGAGCAGGAAGAGGAGATCCTGGGATCTGACGATGATGAGCAGGAGGATCCCAATGATTATTGTAAAGGTAAGGCTTTTTATAAAGCATGATCCATCGATTTTAAGTTTACTCATTTGTATGTTTGGTCTATTAGTGAAAGCACAGTTTTGGTACTTTCTGTTTGTTGCTTTCTTCTCATTAAGGTTAGGAAATAGTATTTGTTCTTAGTTAAACTCAATTTATTAAAACCTAGGTTTAGATTAAATATATTTTTACCTTTTAAAAATGATAATGCATATTTATCTTAGAAAATTTCAGAGATATATTAAGCAAAAAGAAGAAAATAAAAGTCACCTTTAATGCTATCACTCAGAAGTACTGTTTCATTGCTTTTTTCCTCAAAGGATTAGTTGTTAAGATAATTAAACTGAAATTACACGTATTTAAACTATGTTATGAGGTTGCCTGCTATCTTTTCTGTTCCTTTATAAGACTAAAGATCCTTGGTTAAGAACTTATAAGAAAACATACCGTATCACGTTTGCGAAGAACCTGATCCTTCTTACCTTCAGCAGGCAAAAATCAGAGTTAAAATACTTGGCTTCCCACCACTGTTGATAGTCATTTAAGAATTTGTTGAAGTAAATCCTTTTGTGTGGTTTCTCTTTTTTAGCTAAATAAATAGAGTTAGTTAATCTCTTTCCTAAAAAACATCCTGAGACTATAACTATAAATAGATTTTTGTGCTTAGATAAATCTGTTGGCTTATTGAGGGCGAAAATATTGTAATGTTTTTTGAGGATGACATTTCTGAAAGTAACTGTTCTTCAGAGCATCACTGGCTCCTCAATCTAAATAGTCTTGCTTACTAAGTTGTGTTTTTGTTTTTCTTTTTAATGAGCTCAGTAATACTGTATGATCTGACAGTTAAAATTTTCTTCTGTTCAATTGATAAAAGGTGTATCCAAAAAAAAAAAACCAAACTTACTACCATTGAGTCAGATCCGACTCATGGTGACATCCTTGGGTTTCTGAGGCAGTATCACTACAGAGGTAGATTACCCAGTCTTCCTTGCAAGGAGTGGCTGGTGGGTTTAAACTGCTAGCCTTCTGGTTAGCAGTCAAATGCCTTAGGCACTGCGCCACCAGAGCTCCTAGAAAAGATGTAGAGGTGTTTCACAATGGAATATAAGATACCTTTTCTTACTCGTTATTTAAGTAGTAATAGTTTCTTATCCTGCGTTTTCCAATTAAAACTACATTTTCCTCCCATTGTTTCTTCTAGGGGGTTATCATCTTGTGAAAATTGGAGACCTGTTCAATGGGAGATATCATGTAATCCGAAAACTGGGCTGGGGACACTTCTCAACAGTATGGTTGTCATGGGATATCCAGTAAGTTTTAGTTAGTAGTTCTTCAAAATAATTTGTTTAGGTGATGCCTAAATATTTTTGCCTGATTTTTTTTCAGAAATGAATTGGGCTGTAGTCAAGCTTAGACTGAGTTCTTGATCAGAATTATATTCTTGATGATAATCATTTTATGTTCTTGGGCAAATCAGTTTCCTCTCATGAAAAATCAGTAATATGTATCTGCCCCTCTACCTTAGAGACACGAAATTGATTAAATATCAGTAAAGCCCTTGGAATCCCCAGTTCAAAGTATTACAAATAGTCATTGGAGGCATGATATGTAAATTAATAGTTGTCTTTTCACTGGAGTAGTTAAATTTTTAGATAATGTCCCAAACCAAGCTTTATGAAATTACTTACTTACTTTCGTTTTGTAACAGATTTGCTCAGCCATGCAGTCTAGAATTTTTCTTTACATAAAAGTCACAGACAATAAAAATACCTCTTGAACATTGAAGTTTTTCTGCAAGTTTATATAATTGGTCTTAGATGAGTAATTGCTATCTGTAACCTTCACTTTTTGTCATTGATTTTTATCTTTTGTTTTTTGTCCAAATACTGCCTCTGGCTTCTTATTAGAAAGTATTATAGCTTCTAATCTTTTAGCTTTTGCCATCTAGATACACAGGATACTTCTGATTTTATTTTATTTTCCTTATTTATCCCCATTTCATGGTGTTACTTTGATTCAGGGAGACATTCAGAAGATGGATTTTAACTTAGAAAAAAATGTTAGGTGACTGGCTAAATCTAGCAAGTTAGTTCTATTAATGGGTATAGTGATCCCATAGAAGTAACCTATGTTTGTATGCAGGGGAACACAAAATCAGCATTTGTTCTGGTTCATCCTGCAGGGAGAGGAGAGTAAATTAAGAAGGGGTAACTGGTCCGTACATAATATCAACATTAGCCAGTGAGTGTCATCTGTCAAATAGAACTAAATCTTGATCTTCCTAAGGTAAGAAGAGTAGGACATTAACTCTTAATTACCTATGTTTTTTTCATAGGGGAAAGAAGTTTGTGGCAATGAAAGTAGTTAAAAGTGCTGAACATTATACCGAAACGGCACTTGATGAAATCCGGTTGCTGAAGTCAGTGAGTATTAGATCATACGTGCGAACTGCAAAGCATTATGATTGAAGTTTTATTGAATTAGCACAAATACTAAATGGTAGACTCTTTTAGCATGGCTAGTTCTGATCGTAAAGTTCCAGTATCTTTAGAGAAATAGAGGAAGCAAAAACATTTACACATTTGTTGCAAGTAGTATGGAACTGGAACTGGTGTGATGTGCTGTGATGGGGATTACACACATACACACCCCCCCCCCCAAAAAAAACCCCTCAAACAAAAATGTTATTGAACATGTTTTATGTGCCAGATAGCACTGCTATACATGTTTTCCTTTCCTACTATGGTTAAAAGAGTTATGAGAATAAATATGTAACATCTTTTGTGTGTTAAATATATGTATATTATAAAAATATGAAGTATAAAATACTGTATTTATTTATCCCTGTATACCTAGAATCTTAGGTAAATTTTATTGAGAGTTTCTTTGCATTTCTGCTATAAATTAGGAACATGCCAAGGTGGTAGAGGACCTTAACCCAGATTGTAAAGTGAAGGTGTTGGATCAGGAGAGTTCTAAGATAGTGCTTTTCAAAGTGCCAGTCTGTGACAAGATATGGAGCTTATGCCAAAGAGTAAATCAACCTAGTAGTACTTCCTTCACTGAGGAAATTTTTCAATGGGGGGAAGAAAAGAGTCAGCCAAATTAGCAATGTGGTTATTGCTGCAGCTGATTAACATCCTGTAAAAGCACCTTCATTCTTCATGGCCTGGAAACTAGCAGTCAATCTTTGGGTAGCACTTTGAGCCGTAAAATGGTTGAATTAGAAAAATAATCCTTATTAGTTGTGTTTCTTCTTGTGAACTAGATTCATTGCCCATTGTGCTACTGAAATTTTAGTGTATCTCCTTACAGATTTACATGAGCTCTTTCTTTGACCATGTCTCCTAGTTATATTTGCTGCAGGTACTACCTTCATCTGCATCCCCTCCCCTACCAGTAATTTGACTTTTTTTGAATTTTCCCATTTTCTAAATACTGTCTCTTCCCCCTTATAGGTTCGAAATTCAGATCCCAATGATCCAAATAGAGAAATGGTTGTTCAACTACTAGATGACTTCAAAATATCAGGAGTTAATGGAACCCGTATCCTTTTAAAAACCTATTTGATAATAACTTTATCCTAAACAGAGGAACCATATTCAGGCAAAATATTATTGGTCTCTTTTCTCAAGGCAAACTATAATAAAATTACTTTGTATCATAAATGTCTGAACACGCAGATGTGAATCATGTCTGTCTTGTGGTGTGGGGTATTGCTTAGGCTTTTTTTCCTTGTTTTAGGCAAATTAAACTGAAGTCAAAAGAAAAACTTTTGGAAAATACCTTATATTCCTAAGTAAAGTCAGTCACCTTTGTCAGCAAAGTAATTTTTTATGGTAAATACTAGGCTAAACAAGAATCTAAGGTGTGATTTTATTTGTTATTCACCAGGCCTTAACATCAAAGAGGCTGTACATGCAGGTTTTGCTTGGAGTCTAAATAGGTGTGGTTGCTTATGTTCTGTCATAATGAAAAAAACCAACTTGTTACATATTTTCATCCAGTTTAGAGCTAAAAGAAACCTTAGCTCCTTTGTCTTAGCAAGTTAACCATCAAAGATCTGTGCAGTGTGCTAGTTAAAAGGTTGCTGTAACAGCCATTTTTAAAAGGCCTAGTACATTTTTCAGAGTAAAAGATGAAATAGAAACTCATTTAGATTGGAAAATCCAAAATAATCTGTTCATAAATTATTTAGAAGTTGTAAGGAAAACATATATTTCTACTATTCCTACATGTTTAGCTTCTCTCAAAATAAGTTTTTAATTCCAATGGTGATCTTTTCTTCCTTTCTTTTTAAGGAGATAGCTTTATAGTTTCATGTGGACTCTGGGAAGAGATTCTAATAGAGATCTGAAGAGGGCACAAAAAAGGAGGGAGAGAGTAGATAATAATGTGAATTTATTTTCTCTCTCAGGTGAAGTTAGTTGTAAGTCATTTGCCTGGAGAAGAACAGACTCCAGATTCCTGGATTTCTAAGGAAAACTGCTATAGCAACCATACATTCCATTTTAAAAACAGCATCTTGCACTTATAGTGGTCACTTTCTGTATGGCTTACTCAGAGAGTATGTATGTTTGTATGTGTGGGTGTGTGAAGTCTTAAGAAAAAAGAAATGAAAACCTACCCCGGAAGCCATGACAACCATTAGATTCTATTTCCCTATTATTTTATCTTGTGATGTTTGTCATTGTGCCAACTTTTTTTTCTCCCTTTGTTTGTCCTTAGGTATTTCTCTCCACCCTTCTTCCTACTTGTCACAGTTATCTTAGCTACAGCATTGTGTGCTGCCTTTGGAGCTTATAAAGGATATAACTCAGAGTGCTGTATTAAAGGTTAATAGGTTATGTCATTCCACTTCCATGGCAGAGGTAAAGAATGATTTACAAGGGACAGCTGGTCACATTAGCTAGTGAGTGTCACTTTCAACCACCTGTATGGCCTATATATCTTTCAAAAAAACCAAACTCACTGCCATCGAGTCAGATCTGACTCATAGTGACCGCTCCTTGGGTTTCCGGAGCAGTATCACTACAGAAGTAGATTGCCCCATCTTCCTTCCAAGGAGTAGGTGGTGAGTTTGAACCAGCAGCCTTCTGGTTAGCAGTCAGATGCCTTATGCACTATGCCACCAGAGCTCCCATACTTTTTATTTCTATTATGTACTTTGTCTCTTTTGCTAACTCTTCTTATTCAAAATGTATCCTAAGTGTAGTTCTTAATCAATATTCAGTTTTCACTCTGTTTTTCTTTGTACTGTCCCCCCAAGAGTTTTATATCACTCTACCTGCAATTTAATATAACATAAATTGTCAGATTGTAATGCTTTTCTCAAAAGTTAAGAAGATTAAAACTAGGATATAAGAATGACTAAAAAATGAAAAATTCATTTTTTCTTTTTTGTTTCATAAGCAATTCGCAGTTTTCAAAAAATCTTGCTACGGTACGTTTCAAACATACAAAGGTAGAATAGCTTAATAATTTCCCACATGCCCACTTCTTGTTTCAAGAGTTATTAACTTATAGCCAATCAATGTATCTCTGAAAGACAAGGACTGTTTTAAAATATAAACTCAGTGCAGTTATTAGAGAAGTAATTAAGACAGTTTCTTAGTCATCAAATACCTCGTCAATGTTTCGGTCTTTCCAAATGCCTCAGGCTTTTTGTTTTTGTTTTTCCTTTTTAGTTTTATTCTTATTTAAGTCAAGGTCCACATAATATCTATACACTGCAAGTGGTTGATAATGTCTTTTAAATCTCTTAATGTTTTTGGACATATTTATTGAGGTGTAGTTTACATAAAATAAAATGCACTGCTTTTAATTAAACAATTTGATGAGTTTTAATAAATGTGTATAGTTGTGTAATGAGTAGTGTACTTACAATACAGAATGTTTCCACCCCAAAAGGCTCCCTAATGCCCCTTTTGATCTCTTAATCTGTGGATTCCTCCTCCATCTGGTTCTTCTCCCGTGCAATTTATTTGAAGAAGCTAGATTCTCTGTTCATAGTTTCCCACAGTCAGGAGTTTGCTAATTGCATCCTTGTAGTAGCATTTAATAAATTCCTCTATCCCCCATACTTCCTGTAAATTGGAGGTCAGATCTAGATCTGAAAGGTGTTTAGATTCAGGTTTCATGTTTGTTTTGTTTTGTTTGCAGGATGGTGTTGTGTATTTCCATTAGAAATATCATAATGTGTGATAGTTCAGTCTTTATGATATTACAGGTATTGGTGATCATTGCTTCGGTTCATTAATTCATCAAGAGTTACAAAACTGATACACTTCTTCTTTTTTTTTTTTTTTTTTAATTGTGATTTGGATGAAAATTTACAGAGCAAATTCACTTTCCATA